CAGGCCTCCACCTCTTTCCCCGGAACTCATTAACTACGATTGCATTCTGCCCATACATCAAAGGTGATATCCAGTAGCCCCATATCCACCATTTCTGTATATTCTCTGTGACATCAACCAAAGGACATTAGAAAACATTGGATAGCACTTAATGGGAAGTGGTGCTTCTTTACTTTACTAATTTTATACCTCTTGACAGGATGAAGCCACCCAAAGCAAAAAGCATGAGCTGTGCAAATGACCCAAATGTGTAAGCAACAACCATGCTTCTACCCATTCCAGCAATGGATCGGTTTAATGCAGAAGCCATCTGACTAATGAGTAAGAACAGAAGGTATTGTCTAAACAACCTGCATCATTTTCAGAATGATATATTGTATGACCTAGAACAAGCATGAAAACAAATTAAACGAGTATGTGACAAAACTTTGTACATGATTACCTTTCAAAAGTGGGATCAAATCCAATGAAAAAGTAAGTGATAAATACCCAAACAGAAACATCTAAAAACGTGATAGGGATCTTGAGAATCCATGTGGGAAGGGCATACGCCCACGACGGAAAAAAGAGGTCTCTTTGCTTGTAAAAAACAGGAAGCTTGGCAATAGTCATAGAAATCTCTGACATTCCACTGAACATAACAGTAACAAAGGAGTAGAACAAAGCACCAGCATATATTCCTCCGTCAGTTACTGAATCACGGTGCATATCAATCCGTAGGAATACGGTCATTGTGATCAGTGCCATTATTGCAAGCTAAAAATAAGGAAAAGAAGTACTGCATATTAAATCCAGGTGCACAGAAGAAAAAGAAAAGGTTATAATAGAAGCTAAAATAGACTAAAAACTCACTTGAGTGAGCTTAAAAACGTAGACAAATGAATTCCTCTTCATAAGCAAGAGTTCCCTTGAAAAGCAAGCTTTCAAGAGTTCCACTTTCCTTATACCATATATCTTGGTCGTTAAGGCAGCTGGGTCGCTCTTGGTCTTGTCAAATGGAGCTGCAAGTTCCTCAGTAATTCTTTTCCCCACAGAAAAAGATTGAAAAGCCTCCGAAAAGTGCTTGACTGTGATGAACCTGAAAGGCTCATCTCTGTTTGTCCAGTACTGCTCCTGATCTTTCCTTGATGTCACCTACAACATGTTAGGTACAAATGAGAAATTATACATAATAATCCTCTTTTAATGTTTATCTCAATTATTTTCATAAGATCAAACAAGAGCTAAATATGGACCTACTTCTTGCAGGAAGTCAGCTATGCCTTTCCTCTCGGGACATTTAAAGCCCATGAATTCAAAAAAATCAAGAACTTGTTCACAAGGGCCTTGGTACACAATTTGGCCATCAGAAAGGAGAATAATGTCATCAAAAAGTTCATAAGTTTCAGGTGCTGGCTGCAGCAGTGAGATGACTGCAGTCCCATTAAGGATGTGAACATAGTTCTTGACTGAATTTACAATCTGATAAGTCGTTGAACTATCCAAGCCAGTTGATATTTCATCCATGAAAAGTGCCCTAGCAGGTCCAACAAGCATCTCACCTATACACATTATCAAAAAAAATATCTACAATTACTTTACGACGAAGTAAAAATCTACGTGTTTGATATAAAGAGCTTGACTTTGTTAACCTGTTGTGACTCGTTTCTTTTGCCCTCCAGAGATACCCCTTAATAACTGATCCCCCACCAAGGTATCTGCACAAGTATCTAATCCCAAAATCTGAAAATCAATGGATATTTATTAGTTCTAGGTAATCACTAAAAGTGCTTTTCTTTATTACAGATTATTGATGGTACCTTAAGAATATAATCTGTCACCAATATCTCCTTCTGGCCTTCTGTTGAAATTGCCTATAATATCATAAACAATTAATTAAAGCAACAGAAATGTCTGATGATTTGAAAAGCATATCGTAGAGCAAGCAAAAATTAAGTCTCAAATCTTATAGGAACAAAGAGTTAACATATAGCAGAAAGCTCCTAACTCCTGAAATATAGCAGTAAGCTACAGACCTCTTAATTTTAAAGTCTTAAATCAGAAGTAGCTTATTTCTCACCTTCATGAAGATGTCTATATCTGGATCCGGCTTAATATTCTCTTCTCTCTCTCTTCTAGTTAGCTCTTCCAGCATTTCTGCCGAAATTCAAAATAAAAACCAATCATGTTTTAATCTATTGGTCTAGTTTTGAAAATTAAAGGAAACTAAGTAAGAAGCAGTCCTATAAACCAACCATAACGGGGTCCAACCCCTTGGCATCTTGCAGAGAAGGCCAAGGTTTCTTTGACTGTCATTTCTGCAATATGAACATCATGTTGACTGATATAGGCAGCACTCCTTTGAGGCACAAACTCATGCATCTCATAACCATTGTAAGTCACACATCCTAAAGACTGGACAAGTATTTTTACTTTATAAGTCAAGAGTAACATTTAAAAGGTAAAGCTTGGGAAAAAATTGATAGAAAATCTTAGAGAAATTAAATTTATTTATTTAACCTTAAGATCCTGATCAAGTTTTCCAGCCAAAGCCAACAAGAGCGTGGTCTTCCCGGAACTTGGAGGGCCCAAAAGCAGAGCCATTCTGCACCCAAAAAAAAAAAAGAGAGAAAAAGGAAGCACTGAACTAAGTGAGTAGAGTAGTTTATTTTTGGTTAAAACCCAAGTGAGTATGCATATTAGACCACAAAGACTAATTTTGAATTGAAAAAGACGAACATAACAGAGGTTTTCTTCTCACCTGCCAGGCTTGATGATCCCACTGACATCTTTAAGGATAGACAAGTGTTTCTTCTTAGTGGGAAGAATATGGATGCTATTCAAGAAGCCCTTTGGTGCACAGAAACAAAAAACTTCTTAAGAATGTAGTGATATTTGACAGGAAAACCATATGTGCTATAATATATCATTTACCTCCATTAAGTTAACACAATAGTTCAAGACTGTAGGCAAAGCCCTGCTTCCAACATACGCTTCAGCTGAAATGTTTAGATGCTCAAATCTGACTTCTATTGTAGGAAAGCTTATTCCAACTCTGTGATACGAAGAAAAACAATCCCATTATGATAAAAAATAAAAATAAAACAAAGAAAATTTAAGAAAGTCTAGAACGATACATATATGTAGACAGAGAAAGATAGTGAACTGTTACCTATCAATCCGTTTCTTGAGCCTCAACAAGAAGCTCTCTTGACCTTCTTCCACTGCTCCGACCAACCTCTCAAGCAAGACTTTCTTTTCTTGCAAATCAAGAAGCTTCACATCAACTTCATTGGCGTGGCTCATATCCATTGTAAAACAGCTACAACGTTCTTTCTTTTCTTTTCAGCAATGCGGGGAGCATTGTTATATATGGAGATAGGTCTTTACGTGACATAAGGGTTGACATCACCTGAAAATATTTTTGGTCATCACCATGTTAATTATTGTTTGGATAATTTTAATTTAATTTTTTTTGAGATTTGAGTAGCATGTAGACTAATCACACTCATGCAACAGCAACTAATGGATGACAAGGCTCACCACCAATTAAGGGTGGTGGGCAAAAATGTTCTGCATTTAATCACTTGTGAGTTGGCCTTCGTTAAGAAATTCCGTATAGAACTTATTTTTCATCAGTATTAACGTGAAAAATTAAAGACCTATTTCAACCACGTTATCTTTCCAGATTTAATTGACCATGTAGCATGATTACGCAACTTGATAATATCATAGGCAATCAAGTAAGTGGCCGAAGAGAACCAAAGTTTGGAATCCACTCCAAAGTGTACTGAATGATAATCGGGTAACAACCTAAACCTTTAGCTAAAGTTGGTTTAAATACTAGCTCAAGTCCTAGAAACCCTAGGAATCCAAAAAGGAAATAAAAGCGAGAAATAACAAAATTTTCGAACACTAGCTCAAAAACTAAAATGTTGTTTTGGGCTACTAAATGACGTCAAACACCTGAAAAAGCCCATGTCACAAAAAAGCAGTGAGTTTGATGGAGTTATGATTGATCATGATGAATAAAGTCTATCCTACCTAACATTTGAAGTCTTTACACATTCGTTTTAATTACTATTAAGTATTGCAATAATGTTTTAATTACTGTGTTTCAATAATGCTTAGAAGTTCATGGGGCCAAACGTTTGTTTTTGTTGGCTATTAAAGTTGGTAGGCTAGTAGACTTCAAGGGCAGTTGATGTTTGTTTAGTGAATGAAGATTGAGATTTTTCTCTCATCTCTTTACTCTTTTCCTGAGTATTCTCATAATTAATATATTAGATTTTTAATTTCGGGTGTTTTTAGAATCAACAAAGTTAAGTTTGCTCGAAATTATTCTTTTGTTCTTGTTCCGCTGCATCAAAGTTGGACTTGTGACGTCGTTCTCTTCAAAATGCGGATCATGGGTCCGATTCTGAACTCAATACCCAAACCTACAGTTTTTCGATTTTTCCCTTGCACACACACACTCTTAAGTCCTTTTCAATCACTTTTCCCATCTGCTGTACATCATAAGTTGATGGATCATTCATATCGACCATATTAGCTGACCGCGTGGATGGATCACCTTTATCAATGTTGTTCACACTACACTCAAGCATTCATATGAATTACTACTTGCAGAATAGAAAGAGAAGACATATATATCACATCTAATTATGGTTGATGAATCATTCATAACCATATTTGAATCATATGTTGATCGATCACCAAGGCAAGGGGCTTGTAGCTCTGTGTTCGAATTCTTCCTCATTCAATATTGCTTGTATAAGAAAAAAAGAATTGATGAACCCAATAAGTTATTCCTCACAATAGTTTTTAGATGACCTCAGGTCTGTTAGTTTGAAGATTGGTATCTCTGTTATTTTCGCTATTACATTTACAAGTATTTGTCATCTATATATTATATATATGCGTACTTTCTCCTTGGTAGTGGGAGGTGACGTATTTGGAATGACTTCATCATCATGTAATTACCTCTTATTGTATGAACAAGTACAATGTTTTTAGCAGTCTCGAAAATAATCGATGGGAAAGTAGATAGAGAAATGGCATCTTTGTCACATCTGAATTATGGTTAGGGGAAACTTTCTTATAATATAATCACGTTGCCGTTATTGTTTAAGTACAAAACAAGTGCATTATGTTGTAAAAGCAATTGGATGAGCTCACAAGTTGAAGTGGGAAACACAATCATGAAGCCTTTAGACTTTTGCGTGAATCTATATGGAAATGCACTAGGTGGTGGGAGGCGAGACCCGGGAGCCGCCACACAAAATAAAATAATATTTTTATTCTTTCCAAGCCAATGGAATCGAATTCTGCCTCCTAATTCAATCTAATCCTAGTCACTAAACATGATCTAAGTGGTGGTTAAGAGCTTCTGCCTATAGAGGAAACATTCTTCAACATTATTTGAGAACATACAACGGAAGGAAGGAGAAAAAAGACGAGGAAGAAAGGGAGAAAAGATAAATTTTTAAACATTAACTCGTTTGATGGGTAGGATAAGTCGTAGGTTTTGATTAGCTTAATCCAATACCATGATTGGTGCTTAAAAATGAATGTGGATAGAATAAATGATAATCCCAACATAATATCATTATGTGCATTTTTGTTGAATAATTTTAGAATTTTTCTATTTAAACCCTACACATTTCTTTGTTCACCCTAATACTTAAATTATTAAGCTTTTAAGTTTTATTATTGTGTAAAAAGACAAAAAAGTCATCCAACTTAATATTTAACCCTAATACACCCCTACACACCCCCCCACACTCTCACTCTTCATATTTGATTATGGTAACTTATATGAGAGCAATTTTCCTGTGCCTTCCTGTTTCTTTCTTAATATTTCGCCACCTGTCCTCATACTTAACAGAGAGATAACACCCGTTAACTCCGATTGAATAATAAAACAAATATTGATAAAAGGAAACTTTTTTATTTTTATGGATTTCTCATCTTCTTCCTCTAGCTTTTTAATCACCCAATGAGAAAAACCCGTCGATCAGAGTTCAAATGGCTCACAATCCTTTCAGAACTTGAAACAGACCTAATTGCCAAAGAAATAATTGGCCATGATTTTAATGTGAATGAAGTTGAGAGACACAAACAAGAGTTCAACAACCATCAACAAACGAGTTACTGCTGCTCGTCAACTTCCCAATGGTGGCGGCGGCTCATTTCGGATGGATAGAGGAAGAAGATGAATAGGCAAGTTTTTAATTTTAATTTTTAATATATATATTTTTGTTGCAATATTGAGGTGGAGGTTGAGGTGAACTTAAAATAGTATGGGGCAAAATAGCGGGGTGTGGGGTGTGAGGTTGATGAGTTTTTTAAATATTTTTTTATTTATGCTAGGTGTCTATTTAGAGGTAGTTTAGGAAGATAGTGGGGTTTTTTTAGAAATTGTGAAAATTCGAATTAAAAATTGAGATGAACTTAGAATATGGAGTGAACAAAGAGAAGTACAGGGTTTAAATAGAAAATCTCTAATTTTATCCTACTGAAAAGGCGGGATACATCTAGAATCTGTGTACTTATCACAAGCTTGTAATTGGTTCCTATAAGTAATATACGCCTGCCACTGTTAGAGGTGTGGCTTTAGAGCATCTCTTTCATGGTATTAGAGCACAAGATTAACCTCCTGTTCGATCCTTTGATTATTTTTTTCTCGTCTCTATATTTTAATGGTCTCGTCTTCCTCTCATGATGATCTTCCGCTTCCTTCTTTCTCCAATGTTGTTACTGTTCGCTTGGATAGGAATAAATTGCGTGTACTTTGCTCAAAATCTAAGCATAATCTTATTTGTCATTTATGCCCATTGGGCAAAAGTATTAAATTACCATTTTCTTCTTCTGTCTCTGTCTCTACTGCTTCTCTTCAATTAATTTATTTTGATGTGTGTTGTTTCTGGTTTTCTCTACTATGTCTTATTTGTGGATGATTTTTCTTGTTATTCATGGATTTATCCCATGAAATTAAAATATGAAGTATTTTCTCATTTTAGTAAATTTAAGGCTTTGGTGGAAAACATGTTGTCTACTACAATTGAAGTTTTTCAAATTGATGGTGGTGGTGAATACCTCAAAAAACCTTTTTAGGCCTTTTTGGCCCAACATCGTATTCATCATTGTCTTTCTTGTCCTCATCACCCTGAGCAAAATGGGCTTGCTGAATGTAAATATTGTCACATTGTTGACACTGGGCTTACACTTTTAGCCCATGCTTCTATGCCTTCCTCCTATTGGGTTGAGGCCATGCACATTGCTGTCTATCTAACTAATCGTCTCCCATCCAAAATTTTACATTATACTTCTCCATATAACCTTTTATTTAATAAAGCTCCTCAATATCACATAATGAAAACTTTTGGTTGTGCATGCTTTCCCTATCTTCGTCCTTATAATTCCACTGAACTTCAGTTTTCGCTATACAAAATGTGTTTTCTTAGGCTATTCACTTAATCAAAAAGGTTATTGGTGCTTACATTTATCAACACAAAAAGTCTTTCTTTCTCAACATGTTGTATTTGATGAAAACAATTTTCCCTTCCTTGAGACTGTTTCGCTGCAAGCTTTGGATCAATCCTCCCCCCATCCGGTCCACGTCCCACCTCTTCTTGTTACTGGGCCACTTCCTGCCCGGCCCATGCCTGCCTTTGTCTCCCCAAATCCGTCATGTTCTAGCTCAACTCCATCCCTGGCCACCACCACCATTCTCACATATCGTCGAGATCCCCACCGCTGCATTACTACTTTTTCTCCTCCTCATGATCCCTCTATTCCGCCGTCCAACACCTTATCTACCCATGCTACTTCCTTGGTAAGTGTTGGCTGCGCAAATCTCACGGCCTGGTACTCCGGGCCGAGGGGATGTGCGTTAACACGTAACGTCCTTCTTTTGGATGTGGTGCGGTTGTGCGCGGGCGTGCCAGCACAGTCTACCGTGCGTCGAGATGGTGATGAGGTTTGGGTAGAAGATGGTAAAATGATGCGCTTGTTTTGAGTTCGACTCATGATCAAACGATTGTGGCCAAGAGAGGAACTGATCTCGGCCGTCAGGTTCACAGCCTGAGCTACAAGGCCGTTTAGTGGTGGTGTTGGTGGCGGGTTTTAGGCGGTGCTCCAGCGCGTTGCTCAAAGAACAACGGTCGTATGATATATGGGGTGAATGAGATGATAACAGAGATGGTGCTCCGACGCCTTGAAAACCAAGGGTCGTATGATATATTGATGAATGAATTTTCCTTACAATCTACCACTACTCCTAGGAAAGCAAATAAAGGTATTGAAAGTGCATGACAAGGAAATATAATTTGCTCCGTGGGAGGCTTTTGGTTTGGTGTTTGAACCCCTTGAATGTAGTCTTGAGCTTAGTATTTATAGGGGGAGTCCTGGAGGGACAATCGAGGCCGAAAAGATCTGCATGGTGGAGTCTGATCGGGGCAAGTGGGTAGTCAAATCGGCATTTGGGATCGTGAAGCATGGTGGTGTGACCCTCATAGATCCTGGTAAATCTCGGCCACTGCCCTGATCGTGGGTTCTACCCCCTTGGCCGTGGGAACGCATTTAATGCCCTGGTATGATGGTTGGTGATCTGACCTCAAGTTGTAAAATTACTTGTGAGAGTATTGGCGCCTAACCACTCTGATTTCCATTACCAAATCCTGACTTCAATCACTTCCCCTCTCCCCTCGTGCATTAAATGCTTCTTGCGACTAGTGGGCTTGCTGCGATAGTCAGAGGCATTACTTCATTAAATGGGGCGTGAGACCCTGAAGCCACGTGACGATTTAACCACAGTATCTTCGGTCGTGGCCTTTACGGCCTTCGGCTTCGGCCTATAATACCGCGGTCGCGAGGCCGAAAGGTTTCTGCCTTTGCAGCTTTTCTTTTGTTTTCAGGAAAGCGAAATGTCTAACGAAACGTGGCCGTTTCAGTTCATAAGTAGGTGCTAGGGCCGAGAGGAGGTCTCTTTGGTCAGTTTATGATCGTGATTTATTAGGCACAAACAGTAAGCGCTTCCATTCCTCATTCCATGGTTACTCGTGCTAAAGATGGTATTCATAAACCTAATCCTTGTTATGCTCATCATGCTTTACTTACGGATTCTACTAATGCTCTTGTTAAGCCTACTTCTTTCAGTCAAGCTAATACACAGGTTGAATGGCGGCATGCTATGGCGGATGAGTTCAACACCTTGCAAAGTGCTGGCACGTGGGTGTTGGTGCCACCGACCTCTCACATGAACATTTTGCCCAACAAATGGGTTTTTCGTATTAAATGCAATTCTGATGGGTCGATTCAACGTTACAAAGCTCGTCTTTCATCAGCAAAAGGATCTAGACTATGGTGAAACTTTAGCCTGTCATCAATCACTCTGCCATTCGCCTTATCTTGGCACTCTCTGTCCAGTTTAATTAGGTTGTGCGTCAGTTGGATGTTCAGAATGCCTTTCTTCATGGGTATCTCTTTGAAGATGTGTTTATGAAGCAACCCATTAGTCTTGTGGACCCCCAATCTTCTTGTCATGTTTGCCAGTTAAAACATTCTCTTTATGGGCTCAAGCAAGCTCCTCGCGCCTGGTTTAACTGTTTTTCTACTCACTTAGAGCATTTGGGCTTTACTGCTTCTGCTTCGAATTCCTCCTTATTTATTTTTATTGATGGCTCAGTTCGTCTTTATTTATTAATCTATGTTGACGATATTCTTATTCCAGGCAATGACCCTGGCCATATTACTCGGCTCATTATGGACTTGGGTTATTCTCCGTCGCACCCCTGCAGGCTTATCTTTCACCCAAACCAACTGATCATCAATTTACATGACGAAGAACCTTTGGCTGATTGCACCGAATATCGTAGCATCGTTGGTGCTCTCCAATATCTCACTCTGACCCGTCCTCACATTGCTTTTGTGGTCAACCAAGTCTGCCAGTTCATGCACTGCACAAGCCCACTTCGACTCATTGGTTAGCCGTGAAGCGTATTTTGCGTTATCTCCAAGGCACCTCTACTCATGGCCTGTTCTATAGGTTGGGTGCCCTCACTATTACTGCATACTCCAATGCTGATTATGCTGGGGATCCTGATGACCGCCGCTCCACTGGCGGTTATTGTCTCTATCTTGGTTCTAGCTTGGTCTCTTGGAGTTCTAAGAAACAAGGAGGGGTTTCTAGCTCTAGTACAGAGGCTGAATACAATAAGTTGCCCTACACTGATGCCACCCTCTCTTGGTTTTCGTTCACTTTTTTGTGAACTTCAGCTCACTTTGGCTTGTCCTAAACTATGGTGTGTCAACATTAGCACCATCTTTTTGGCATCTAATCCTGTCTTTCACGCTCGCACTCGTCATGTTGAGGTAGACTATCACTACGTTCGTGAAAAAGTTGTTCGCCAAGAGTTGGAGGTCGGCTACCTTTTCACTCATGATCAGATTGCCGACATTTTTACCAAGGGTCTCTCCTCTCATCGGTTTCAGCTGCTGGTTGACAAGCTGCATGTTTGTTGCCGCCCTGTCAGCTTGCAGGTGTGTGAAGGAGAAACTAAGTCGAAGACAAACACTTAGATTATCTGTTGTCATTATCACATGTTAATTCCTTATAAATCCCTTTTACTTTTCTCGATAGAGTTAGACTTCTATCTAGATTCTGTAACTTGTAATTGGTTCCTATAAGTAATATACGCCTGCCACCGTTAAAGGTGTGGCTTTAGATAATCTCTTTCATGACCTTGGACCCAAGATCCGGGAGCTGCGACACAAACCTAAGACACTAGTGCTAATAAATGATATTTATCATTTCCAGTACAATCCAATTCTACCTCTAATCCACAAACCCAAGAGGTGAAAGAGAGGAGATTAGAATGACAAACTTAAATTTTTTGGGGCTAAGATGGATTCTCTAGGCTCCAGCCTCCAATTATGCAGTCTCTTATTGGGTTTGGTGCAAACTTCAAACCTATTGTTGAATTTGAATTTCAGTTAAAACACTTCAGTTGTATGTATTTCTTGAAGTCACCTTCTTGAACTTCAGTTAAATGGAATCCAATGGAAAGATAGATAGTTGAATTGAAACTGTTTTAACTCCATTTCTGATAACTTTTCTAAGCCTGATGTTCATATCATTAACTTATTTGCCTTTTTACACAAATATAAAACACTATCTGTAGACCAAAGCAAATCATATGGCTGCCTTACAGTGCTCATTTCCCTTTGCTTGGATGGTTGCTATTTTATTTCTTCTGGCTTAATTTTGAACAATATGTACACCTAATTTATTATAGTGCTTCCGTACCAAAAAGAAAAAGGACGAGGGGAGAAGCGGGATAAAAGATCGTGTCCCTCAAAGTACTTCATATATGCCCAATATTTTCATTAGAAAACCAAAAGATGAAGAAGTTGCTGTATGATAGCCTTCTCACTGACTGAAAAATGATAGCCATGATTAGTTTTTTCAATGAGTCCATCAGATATTAAGTATCTAACACACAGAGACATATGATCAATAGAGATCAATAAATTATACTCAATTATTTTCGAATGCATATTATATCACGGGAACGTGAAACAAAAGGTAAAAACCGATAATAAAAGCTGACAGTACGTATAAATTTACTTGTAGTGTAAGTACAAAATGCCTTTATTTGATAACTGAGTAACATATATTCGAATATGCATAAGCCTCTAGCATCTTTACAGAGTCTCTACATATATACAAAAAAGATAGATTGCGGAATTACATCTTTTGACGATGGTGGTCTGTGTTCAACATATAATATCAAAGCTGATGAGGATAATCCTTGAATATATAGTTGTCGATATGTTTGCCATTCAAAAAAGAGCCTAAAATATGATACTGAAATAATTCGAAACAAAATTTCTTATCGCCTCTGAAAATTCAACATCTTGATGGCCAAGGCATAGATAAACGCAAAGAGGAGGGAAAATCCAACAACTGCAGCTGCAACCACTCCTATAAATTCTTGTTTGAAACCAAAGTAATTCTTCAAAAACTCTTCTACTGTCTCACCTGTGTTGAGCTTATCTTGTATATCCCCAAACTGTGATACCGTCAATCCATACAAGGTCCAAGCCATTGGGGATGCCCAATAGTACCATCTCCACCATATAGGAATCCTCTGATTGAGGTCAAAGAACCAGAACAAAATTTTTTCATCAATACAGATTCTATTAACTGAAGAAAAGAAAAAAGCTTGCAGTACTAGAAACTTCAATGGTCAAGCAACACTTACGGTTCGTGGGATCATGAACCCTGAAAAGAGGTTCCATAATGCATAAAATGCATTAGAACTTATACCAGCAACGTGTTGGTTCGGCGTCAAGGCCACCCCCATCATGCCATAGAAGGTGAAGTATACACATGTGAAAAACATGAAGAATAGGTACCAAAAGAATTTAGCTACAGTCCACTCAAATCCAATCATAGCATAAACTATGACACCATAGATCAGAGCTTGCGCAAAAACATAAGGGATCTCAATTGTGAGCTGCAGCAAAGAATCAAATTAGCATAAGGCAAGTAAGATAAGAGGATGCATTATGACAACTATGTTTGTAAAATGCATAAAGAACAAGTCACCTGTGCAAAGGCATATGCCAAGGCAGAATACATTCCAGCAGCTTGTTCTCTATAAAAGACGGTTCTTTCAATAGCCACTATCGGCTGCACTGTCATGGCATTTTTAGTACCAAGAAAAAGAACAGAAGCATACATAGAACCAATTGCATTGAAGAGATCCTGTTGCTTTGTCCTGGAATTTAACAAATCCAAAATTACAAATGCAAGAATATATATCATCTTCGATTAGACCTATTTTTTACTTTTGCACTATGACTTACACTTTAGAACCAAGGTTCCAGAACATTGTCCCAAACATCAAGGCTACGATGGTTGTGTATATCAATCTTATGGCATTGTACGGCGGATTGCGCCAATATGACCAATGTTGTTTCCATAAGCAAGCCATGCACTGAGTGAAAAATGACTGAGGGTAATGAGTAGGGAAATAGAGGTCCTTTGAACCAGGCGCAGGGTTACTCAATTCTTGAATAAGTGACTTGTTTCTCCTGAAAAAAATCACTTTCATCAGCAAATCTTACTTAAGTAGAGAGGTTCTTTCATTGTTTTTCTGTTAACTTAGTGTTGGTTCAAATTTGTAATGCAGTAGATGGTTTTTCGGTCTGATAATCCCACCTATAAACTTCAGAGCTTTTATATACATCAGCAAAATCAATTCCCAATTCTGTTTCTTTTGCTGAAGTCGTAACTTCCAACATCCAAGTAGCTGGATTGTAGCCATTCTTGATTTTGCTGACTCCCTCAATTCCCTGAACAGAAAATTACATTATAGGAAAACCTTTGTTTCCCCAAAAAAACAAAAAAAAGCAAAAAAGATAGGAATATCATATATCATATTCTATCATTAAAATTTCCTTATTTTTCATAAGATTATACCTCAAAGTACTTGATCAAATGGCAAGAATGACGACCTAGTGGCCCTACATATATCTCTTGTCCTCCTTTCTTCAATAGAAACAACTGCAATGAAATGTTATATATGTTAATCACTTAGAACAGACAAAAAACAGAGTTCATTTCAATCTCTTTAGTCAATATTTGTTTTCACCTCATCAAAAGCTTCAAATATGTCGATGCTTGGCTGATGAATAGTGCACACTATTGTTCTTCCAGTGTCCACAGTGTTCCTAACAGCTCTCATTACAATAGCAGCAGCTCTTGCATCTAAACCTGAAGTTGGTTCATCCATGAATATTACAGAAGGGTTTGCCACTAGTTCAACGGCAATGGTCAGCCTCTTCCGCTGCTCGGTTGAGAGACCACTTTCACCAGGTAACCCTACTAGTGCTTGCCTTAATGGATTCAGCTCCACCAGTCTCATCACTTCCTCAACAAACATCTACAACCAATTCTTCAAATCAGTTCAAGCGTGCTCATGACTATAAATTGCATTAAAAGAAAATAAAGCTTAGAAAATTATGCTTTACTAATTCAGGACACTGACCTTCCTGGTTCCAGAATTTATTTCGGTGGATAAACGCAGCCATGCTGAGTACATCAAGGATTCATAGACGGTAACATAAGGAGAGTGGATGTCATTCTGCTCACAGTATCCAGAAATTCGGGCAAAGGATTCTTGCTTCTTTGGGTACCCAGAAACTGAAATATTTCCCTCAATATATCCTCCAGTTTTTCTACCAGCCAGTACATCCATTAGAGTAGTTTTACCAGCACCACTCACTCCCATCAGAGCTGTCAAAACACCTGGCCTGAAAGCACCACTCACACACTTGAGAAGCACCAATTTATCCTCAAGAACACCTTGGTTCTTCATTGCCTGCAAGATGGAATAACAAAATTACTCATAATTTGGAGTTGTACAAGCTTGTCCAATCTCAAACATGTTTGAAAGTTTGTTGCATATATATACAAACATATATATATATATATATATATATATATCACCTGTGGCATGTCCACGGAGTACGTGATTTCATCAAATGTGATGGAATGTGGTTCAAAGGGAAGAAAACCATTCCTCTTTTCTTATGATTAGTGTCAGTAGCTTCTGTCCTGACAGATGAGGGTTTGGAAGAGGTACTTCCATCTCCACTATCTGCATGTCCATACAAGTTTTCATCAAAAAGGGTAAAATTTTCATCATCAATAAACAACTGCATACAGCACAAACATTATCTGAGAGATATATCACCCGTGCTGACTTGCGGAATCAAGCTATTTCCTCTGTTCTGTGACCAACCAACTTTTCCACTCTTCTCATCATGTTCATTGCTTTGAGATTCTTCTGATTTAACAGCCTGTGTCTTCCCTAATGCTGCATAACATTTTATGGTAGTATAAATCAAATTCTCACTTATCTAAGTTTTAGAGCAGATTAGGTGAAGGTACCTACGGTTTAGATAAGTGAGAGACAAACTGAAACAAATGTTGAACATGAATATGTATCCAATCAAAGCTCCTACGCCGATCCAATACCAATATGACTGTGTAAAGAATCCACGAGATCTCAAAACAGCAACTCCTAGTGGTTCTGTTGAGTTTGGAAGAACCTTTAAATACGAATAAAAATTCATAATTACTAAGAGGCAAACACAGAATTTGACCAAAATAGAATAGACAAACACAAAAATGTTTGAAAATACTAAGTAAAGGAATTACATGTCTCCAACTCTTTCCGAGGAACTCATTAACTAGTATTGCATTCATCCCATACATCAAAGGTGATATCCAGTAGCCCCATATCCACCAAACCTTTATATCCTCTATGACATCAACCAACGAAAATTAGAAAGCATTATATAGCAATTATGAGAAGTGGTGTTCCCTTGCTTTACTTATTTCATACCTCTTGACAGGACAAAGCCACTCAAAGAAAAAATCATGAGCAGTGCAAATGACCCAAATGTGCTAGCAACTGTCAAGCTTCTACCCACTCCAGCAAGGAATCGGTTTAATGCAGAAGCCATCTGATTAATGAGTAAGAATAGAAGGTATTGTCTAAACAGCCTGCATCATTTTCAGAATTATATATTATATGGGCTAGAACAAATATGAAGAGAAATGTAAAGGGTTATGTGACAAATTTCGTACTTAATTACCTTTCAACACTTGGATCAAATCCAATGACATAGTAAGTGATAAATACCCAAACAGAAACTTCTAAAAATGTGACAGGGATCTTGAGTATAGATGTGGGAAGGGCATATGCCCACACCGGAAAGAAGAGGAGGTCTCTTTGCTTATAGAAAACAGGAAGCTTGGCAACAGTCATAGAAAGCTCTGACATTCCATTGAACATAACAGTAACAGAGGAGAAGAACAAAGCACCAGCAAATATTCCTCCATCAGCTACTGAATCACGGTGCATCTCAGTCCGTAGGAATACGGTCATTGTAATCAGTGCCATTATTGCAAGCTAAAACGAAGGAAAAGAAGCAATCCAGATTAAATCCAGGCACACAGAAGAAAAAGGAAAAGGCTATTGTAGAAGTTAAAATTAAGTCAAAACTAACTTGAATGATCTTGAAAATGTAGACAAATGAATTCCTCTTCATAAGCAAGAGTTCCCTTGAAAAGCAAGCTTTCAATAGTTCCATTTTTCTAACACCATATTTTTTGGTCGTCAAGGCAGCTGGGTGGCTCTTGGTCTTGTCTAATGGAGCTGCAAGTTCTTCTCTAATTTTTCCACCCACTGGGAAAGACTGAAAAGCGTCAACAAATTCCTGAACTGTGATGAACCTGTAAGGCTCATCTCTGTTTTTCCAATACTGCTCCTGATCTTTCCTTGACGTCACCTAGAACATATTAGGTTATAGGACTCACATTTAATGCTTATCTAATTATGTTCACAAGATGAAGCAAAAAGCTATATATGAACCTACTTCTTGCAGGAAATCAGCCACGCCTTTCCTCTCAGGACATTGAAAGCCCATGGATTCAAAAAAATCAAGAACTTGTTCAGGAGGGCCTTGGTATGCAATTTGGCCATCAGAAAGGAGAATAATGTCATCAAAAAGTTCATAAGTTTCAGGTGCTGGCTGCAGCAGTGAGATGACTGCAGTCCCATTAAGGATGTGAACATAGTTCTTGACTGAATTTACAATCTGATAAGTTGTTGAACTATCCAATCCAGTTGATATTTCATCCATGAATAGAGCTCTAGCAGGTCCAACAAGCATCTCACCTATACACATTATCAAAAATTCTACAATTACTTGATGAAGAAGTTGAATTACAAGTTTGATGTAAAGAATTTTACTTTGTTAACCTGTTGTGACTCTTTTCTTTTGCCCTCCAGAGATACCCCTTAATAATTCATCCCCCACCAAGGTATCTGCACAAGTATCTAATCCCAAAATCTGCAAATCAATGGATATTGATTAGTTGATGGTAATGTCTAAAAGTCCTTTTTTATTACAGAAGAATTATTGATGCTACCTTAAGAATATAATCTGTCACCAATGTTTCCTTCTGGCCTTCTGTTGAAATTGCCTATGATAACATAACGGATTAATTAAAGCAACAGAAATGTCTGATGATTTGAAAAGCATATCGTAGAACAAGCAAAAAGGAAGTGTCAATCTTATAGGAAGAAAAAGGTCATATATAGCAGAATCTCCTAAATCCTGAAATATAGCACTAGTCTACAGACGTCTTCATTTAAGAGTCTTAAAGTAACTTATTTCTCACCTTCATGTAGACGTCTACATCTGGATCCGGCTTAATGTTCGCTTCTTTTTCTCTTCTAGTTAGCTCTGCTATCATTTCTGCCCAAATTCAAAATCAAAACCAATCATGTTTTAATCCATTGGTCTAGATTTGAAAATCAAAGGAAACTAAATAAGAAACAGTCCTATAAACCAACCATAACGGGGTCCAACCCCTTGGCATCTTGCAGAGAAGGCCAGGGTTTCTTTGACTGTCAGTTCTCCAATATGAACATCATGTTGACTGATATAGGCAGCCCTCCTTTGAGGCACAAACTCATGCATGTCATGACCATTGTAAGTCACACTTCCTGAAGACTGGACAAGTATTTCTATTTTATAAATTAAAAACAAAATCCAACAGTAACATTTAAAGGGTAAAGCTTGAAAGGAAAAAAAAATTGATAGAAAATCTGAGAGAAATTAAAGGCGCATTGCATTTGTTTAACCTTAAGATCCTGACCAAGCTTTCCAGCCAAAGCCAACAAGAGTGTGGTCTTCCCGGAACTTGGAGGACCCAAAAGCAGTGTCATTCTGCAAAAAAAGGAAAAACACTAAGTGAAGTAAGTAGAGTACTTTCTTTTTGGTGAAAATGTTGGAGGGTAGAGAGTTTGAGTTGAAACTTTGTCCCACATTGGGAGATGAAGTGTTGGTCCTCCTTTAAGTTTAAAATGGATTGGGCCATGTGGGCTTAGTGATTGATTAATAAATATATATTCAATTAATTAAAAGATAAGGGTCTTAGGATAATTAAGTATTGACTTAACCATAGATTTCACTTGGATTTAATGATTAATTGATAAATAGTTGAATCCCAGTTTATATCAATTGCATTGATTTTGTTGACTGATTAAAGTATTTAATTATTTAGATTAAAGTATTTAATTATTTATATTAAATGAGTAATCAAATGAGTATGCATATTTAGGCCTCAAAGACTAATCTTGAATTGAAAGAGATCAATATCTAAAGATGAACAAAACTGAGTTTATTTCATGGATAGGACAGAGCCTTTCTTCTCACCTGGAAGGGTTGATGATCCCACTGACATCTTTAAGGATAGACAAGTGTTTCTTCTTAGTAGGAAGAATATGGATGCAATTCAAGAAACCCTTTTGGTGCACAGAAACAAATAACTTGTTAAGAATATAGTGAGATTTGACAGGAAAATCAAATGTTCTATAATATATAATTTACCTCCACTAAGTTAACACAATAGTTCAAGACTGTAGGCAAAGCCCTGCTTCCAACATAAGCTTCAGCTGAAATGTTTAAATGCTCAAATCTGACCTCTATTGTAGGAAAGCTTATCCCAACTCTGAGATACCCAAGAAAAGACAATCCCATTATGATCAAAAACAAAGAAAACACAGAAGACGAGATTGTGAAATCTTACCTATCAATGCGGCTCTTGAGCCTCAACAAGAAGCTCTCTTGGCCCTCTTCTGCTACTCCCACTAACCTCTCAACCAAGCCTTTCCTTTCTTGCAAACCAAGACGCTTCACATCAACTTCATTGGCATGGCCTTCAGGTGTTGTGAGCAAACCTTTCTTTAGACGGCGATAAGTAGGAAGACGCTGCAGCGCAGCCCATTTCAGAGCTTCCTCATCGTCTTCTACCTGTGGGGATGTTGAGAAAACTGCAATGCCATTGTCGACCCAATAGGAAGAACCACTTTTGAAACTATGGCCTGCCTTTTCAAGATCACCACTCATCATATCCATTGTAAAACAGCTGCAATTTCTTTCTCCCAAACTTTCTTGCCAAGAAACAAAATAACATGAGGAGAAATGAAGAGAATAAAAAAGTGTATGATTGGGTTTGCTTTTTTAAGCAATGCAAGGAAAGTTTGTATTTATGGGAAAGGATTATTTAGAAGATATTTGGTCATAATATGTTGTTATCATGTGACTCATGGGCTGACGCGAGCTTTCGTTTAATCACACTTTTGAGTTGGCCATTCTTAAGGAATTCCTTGTATAACTTGCCTTCACGAATATTTAAAAGGCAAATCAAAATATCAAACTTGGGGGAAAAATAAACAAATTATACACAAAACTACAAGTAATGCAACGTCACCATCTATATCGATCCCTACTTATATATACAAAAGCAAAAGGCAAAGACTGATAAAACATTCAAAATACCAAAAAATGTAGTTGGTTAATGCAAACGTTACTTTCACTCCTATTACAACCACAATTATTCCTCTATCATAGTTAAAACATGCTTTTTTCACATATTTAAAGCATGTTTTTTTTTTGGTTCACATATTTAAAGCATGCAAATTTTTTTTTTTTTTTTCACATATTTAAAACATGCTTGCTTGATAAGAAAACAAAAATAGGATATAACGCAAAAGGATAAAAAAGAAGTTAGGCTTTATTATAGGGTGTATTTGATCCATTTAGGTTCGTAGAGCATCTCCAAGAGAGATGTCAAATGTAAAATGTTAATTTTGAATTTGATGTCTTTTGTGGCAAATCTGACATTTAGGAAAAAGTTTAACTCCACCTGAAATGCCAAATATCATATTATTTTATTATATTTTTAAAGCAAATGAGGCCCATATGATGCATAAAGTTTTAAGAGAGTAAAATAATATTTGACATCTAGCTTTTTGATATGTTATTTTTGGCATACCTCTATAGGGAGCTTCTAGAATGCGGAGGTTATTATGAGGAGGTTATGTGCGGAATGATAACAACCGTCAGTTTCAAATGAACGGTTTAGATTTAAGTAGGAAGTTTTGTTACAACCGGGTTAAAATTACCCATCACAAAATGAGCAACCCGGAACTTCTCTCTCATATCTCCTCTTTTCTTTGAAACTGAGGTCCAAAGTCCTAAGTCTAAAACTTCCTCTGGAAGACAAACAAGAGCTGCCCCTTTCCAACTTCCAGAAGCCGAATTTGCTACTCCGAAAAGAAAAAAACAAAGACACTCAACTGTGGAGAACGCTGTTGAAGGAGGAGGAACAAGGGTTGAAGCCCACAACTCAATTCTTTCACTGGTATGTGATTTTTCAGCCATATTACAAATCCTTTTATTCAAAAAATATTCTGTTTTGTTAGCCCCTATCATTAATGTTGTAGAAAATGGCTCATCATTACCCATTACCTAAGTGCTTTCTTATTTTGTCTTTGTGTCACAAAAATTATTTGCAAGATCGTCATAGTAGAGAGAAGAAGAAAAAGAGACAAATGATATGTTGAAAGAGCCTCCAGTAGTCTCTCACTCGCCTAACTTTGCACTCCTTTTCTAAACAAGTAAAACCCAAGTTTTGAAGAACTTGCAGTACTCTTCTTCAACTCCAATTGTGATGGTAAGTCAAACACTGCAAAACCACTTCTCTTTGTTTCTAAGTTTCACTCATTTTGCTTTTAATGTTTTCCAATTTCTTGTAATCATTATTATTTTTTTGTTATCTTTTGTATTTATATTTCATTTGAAAATTTGATTTTTACAGTTTTTATTTTATTTTCATACATAAATATTCTTTCTTGCTTTTAACCCCTTATTGCTTTGGGTTTGATTATGATGCCTTTAATATATTGACTTTAAAAGCTTTGTTGAATCAACAATTAATAAATAATGAAAATAATAACACATTAATCTAATGGGTGATCTTTATGGGTATTGCATACATATAGTAAAAACAAGTTCTCTAAAAATATATTGGGTTTGTCCTGCCTCAATTTATTTTATGAATTTCTAATAATTGATAATCTGCTACTGGTTGACACAAGTTTGCATCTTAATTTTCCATACGTGCTCTTATGGAAAAGTTTAATTGAATCAACATATAGGAGACATTAAACGGAAGCAAGAAACATAAGGATCAATTTTGCTCCATAACATAGGGGAGTTGCATTCAAATTCTTGGATTTGTTGTTGGTAAGTTTTTTTTTTAAAATCATTATAAATGTCTTTGTTTTCAACTGATGATGGTACAAGATTTAAATTGCTTTCATGATTATTTTGTTTTGTTTTAGCTATTTCTGAAATGTTTGATTCAAATGTTATCTAAGGTATCAATAATATGTGAGTAAAATGGTTGAGGACTCAGAGGAGAATGATGATTATGTAATCGCTGATGAAATGATTTTCAAACGAGGTTGGCGTGACCAACCAAGTCGTCCTCCAGAACCTGCGAAATAAGATAGCCTTAGTGGGTGACACCGGTGTGGTGCCGGCCAAGGACCCTCCGATGCTTAAGTCAGTCGAGTGTTTGAGAATAAAATTGCACAATAGGTTCTAGTGCTTAGAATTGCATACCTTTTACGAAGGATGGCCTTAGCATTTTATATCATCCCAGACGACCTAATCCTTCTCGGAGTGGGACTCTAGAGCAAACCAACTCTCCTCGAATTAGGACTCCAGAACATCCTAATCCTCTTCAGACTAGGACTCCATTTAGATTGGGTGACCAGGCTCGAACCCAGCCCGACCACTAACACCGTGGTCTAGCCCAGCTCGACCACTAACACCGTGGTTTGGCCTAGCTCGGCCTAGAGGTATTTTACCTCACAAACAGAAGTCCCCCAAGTCCCCAGACAAGAGAGTTTTGTGTGGGGAGTTGTACTTTAATAATTTGGCCGAGCTAGCAATATTAAGTTATAAAATAATTTTTAAATATTTCCTGTGTCACCGGTCGGCACCAGGAGTCCCCTAAGTTTCCATAAAAACGAGCTTGGCAAAAGGACTTGGTTAGTGGTAGGGAGAAAAAGAATTTAGTGCGGAAGAGAATAATAAAACCTGATGCTTGGCATGGCGAGGTGGGTTCTTCGCCACCCTGACCATGAGCTTGGCATGCTGAGGTAGAGGTCGGCTCTTTGCTGACCTGGCCATGAGCTTGGTATGACGAGGTGGGTTCTTGGCCAACTTGACCATGAGCTTGGTATGGCGAGGTGGGCTCTCTGTCAACCTGATTATGAGCTCGACCTGCCTAGATTGGTTTCTTCCCAACCTGACCACAAGCTTGGTGAACTAAGGTCGGCTCTTTGCCAACCTAACCATGAGCTCGGAGCCTTCGTCCATCAAAGCTTGATAAAAAAATAGCTCGGACCTTTCGTCCATGGGAGCTTGGCCAAAATTGAGCTTAGACCTTTTGTCTATATGAGCTCGATAGAAATATAGCTTGGACCTTTCGTCCATCTGAGCTTGGAAAAAACTGAACTTAGACCTTTCGTCTATATGAGCTCGATAGAAATATAAATCTGAGCTTGGTGAAAACTGAGCTTAGACCTTTCGTCTATATGAGCTCGATAGAAAAATAGCTCAGACCTTTCGTCTACATGAGCTTGATAAAAAATATAGCTCGGACCTTTCGTCCATCTGAGCTTGGTGAAAACTGAGCTTAGACCTTTCGTCTATATGAGCTCAATAGAAATATAGCTCGGACCTTTCGTCCACATAAGCTTGATAACAAATATAGCTCGGACCTTTCGTCCATCTGAGCTTGG